CCCCTACCAGTCTGTCCGCCTCCCTCTGCCCAAAGCACAGAGGTGGTTTGATTTTCAAGACATTTTCTTCCGGCCCATCCACAGAGAGCTCCACACCCAGCGTCCGTGCCCGGGCGACGATCCAAGCTGCCGCCTCGGGCGCCGGCACAGGCATCCAGGTGTCGAATTCCTTCGGCTGGTGTTTCTCGTCCCTCCCTTCCTCTTCCTCACCCGCCACTGGCTGGTGTTTCTCGTCCCTCCCACTCTCTTCCTCGCCCGCCCTCCCTCCTCCTCCTCTCGCTCCGTCCGATCCGGCGATGCATTCCACCCCTAGAAACAAGCCCAAGCCCCGCACGTCCCCTACTACCTGGGGAAACGGTCCCTGGAGCCGTTCATGCAACTGTCGTTTCAAATACTCGCCCGTTACCCGCGCGTTCGTCTGGAGGCCTTCGTCCTGAATGATGTCGAGGACGGCTTCGCCCATGGCACAGCTGTTCCCAGGGTGAGAATGAAGGCACTCGGTCGGGCACAAGTCCTCAAGAATTTAGAGCGCCTCGAGGTAGGCACCTCCAAGCTAGACTTCCTCCCCCTCGCACACCTCCTGCCCTACCAGCGGCGGCGCCTTCCCTCCCTCCCTCCTTCCTTCCCTCCCTCCCTCGACCCTACCTCAAGTTGCTCCCCCCAAAGGTGTTGAAGTACTCCATCCCACCGCCAACGAAGGCCGCAGCCACCTCCCTCCGGGCAACCACGGCTCCTAGCGGAAAGCCATTCCCCATAGGCTTCCCCATCGTGACGATATCGGGGCACACCCCCTGCGAGAGACGGAAATGCTGGTAAGCGCCATGGGGCGACTCGAGCCGAACAATCGTATGGGCGCCTATGTACTATACTGGCGGCCTTTGCAGTACACAAACCTCTGTGCACGCATGCTTTGTCTGTCATCATTCACCTCCACATACAGCACATGGTAGATATGAAACACGACGCATACATCAATAAATCAATTCTTCTCAAGAAGAAAATACCACTCAATGATAAAATAAATTAGTGAATAAAGTAATACGCAAAT